ACCGTCCCGCCACCCAATTAGTATCCACAGTCTGCGATGACTGAGAAAGATGTCGTGTTGTGTTTTCTGTCTGAAAGCGGGCGTAACAAAGCTCACTGCTAAGAAGAGATTTGCTTTACGGGAAAAATAAGCAAATTAACCCGACTCACTTATGTTTTAGGTAAAAGGAGGTTTAAATGTCACAAGTAACTGAGATACTGATTATAAAGGGAGTTACTTTGTTTACATTTTTGGTGTTTTAAAGTATATTTATCTAAAATCTTATTTTCTCTTGTTCATTTGAACCTTTGAATTCTGTTTTAGTTGAGAGTGGCACAATGGAGGCTTTCTCTGCAGAGCAACCCACAAGTTCTGGTACACGCATGCCCCAGTCGCCACGGAGACCAGTGCATCAGCTGCCTTCACAGCGTATCCCAGTGCGCCGCCAGTCAGTGGGCAGACTTGCTCCCGGTGTGCCGGGCAGCGCTGTGAGTCACATCGAAAGGCTGAGAATTTACATCATGATACTCCTACGAACCTCTGTGTGAAACCTTGACCCCCTTTTCTTCCCTCTTTCAATCTGCAGCAGCACTTTTTCGATGAGGATGACAGGATGGTTCCCAGCACTCCCACTCTGGTGGTGCCTCACCGCTCTGATGGTTTCGATCAGGCCATCCAGTAAGTGTCGCACACATCGGGCCGCAAGTTGGAACACAGAAAACCTTTTAAGGGTTTTAAGGAACTACACGTTTATACAAACAGTGAATCATGTCGAAAATTCTCCTGGTTTCATTGTGACCTGTAGTTTGTGCAATTCCACTGAAAAATAAATATTTTGCAAATGTAAATTAGGCTGGTTGTATAAGTGCACAGCATTACACTAATACTCTGTTGATGCACCTTTTGATTTGTTCAGTTTTCTTGGTGATACACCGTAGTGTAGTTTCCCCACTCTTTGTTGCAAAGCACTCAGATTATGAGGACATCTCTGCACCTCCGTCTTCAGCTCACACCAGTGACGTGGCTCCGGCTGGCTCATTCAAAACTTCAGTTTTCTGTTTGTTGTTTTTAAATGTAACCTCGGGGTCGTGTTGAAAGGGGAAATTCTTCTCCGTCTTCAGCCGTCTGGTTTTCCGTTGGTGAACAAACAAAGTGTTTTTGTGCTAAACGAACTGTTGGACTTGCAGACCAAAAATTAACCTTGGTCTTAAGGTTGGACGAATTTATCACCCATCGACGATAGGGCTGTTGGATATAACGATATATATCAGATGACGATGTGAAAACGTCTGTCGTTTCATTTTACGCTGTCGTTTGTTTCGTGGTGTCGCAAAATAAACTGTTTACGTCCATAATTTTTCATCGTTTCGATGTCACTGTAGAATTTCTGAAAGTTCTCTGATATGTAACATAACCACACTACGGACGGACAAGCGACTGTTTTATGCGTTGTCGTTGGCAACAACGACGGTAACACCATCGCGTGGCTCCGCCGTCCATTTGATTATTTTTAACATAAACCTTTCACAATAAAGCTGAAGATCCTGCGGCGATCTTTCAAAATAAACTGAATTACGTGAAATATGATGCAGAGTGTTTACGGATGAGAAGCTAAAAAGAGCCGTCGGGTGGTAAAAAATAAACCTTAGAACAGGCTTTTGCCCGCAGCCGTGTAATAAATGCTCACAAAGAAAACTGCAGCTGTTTAAACTTATGTAACACTCGACTCCAGGGACACGAGGCGCAGCTGAAAACACTTCACGCAAGTTGAACTGCCTGAGATTCACAAAATTTACAGAAAATGTCAAATGTTTGATTATATGTCGTTGTGACGATAAATGTCTGATATCGGGATATGAGATTTTGGTCATATCGCACAGCCCTAATCAACGATAAGCTGAGCCGTTCACCGGTCGTTCTTACAAGAGCGATTTATTTATTTATTTGTCCATGAGTAAGTTAGCTTCAACCAACCTTATTAGCAAAGGGGAGCAGTCAACAAAAAACGGTAATAGTGTGCAGCGATTCACTCAAACTCATAACAGAAGGAAAGAAGGGCAGTGGTCTATGTTCAGAAAAAACAAAACATGTAATTTAAATGAAAAAACACAGAGAAGAGAAACTGGCTTTTTTCCATTATAACTGCGTTTATCTGTCTTACGTACTCAACCAAACAACAAATACCAAATTAAACAAGTTAAAAATCAAAATGTTTCTTCAGGTGAACAGAAATTAAAAAAAAAAAAAAAATCCCCAACGTTAAGGCTTTTGTGCAGTTTGGTGCATTTCAAATAAGTGACTAAATAATACAAAAAGTAGCTGTATTATATTATTATTATATTAATACTGAAACAAACAAGAAAAGAAAGTTTTCTAAGCACACAAATCAGTCTGTGCATGACTACGTTGCTCCTCCCCTCATAAAAGTCACCTGCGTGAATATATCACCTATCGTGATTTAATGGACTGATGAATGTTGGTTGGAAAAATTGTACATATAACTTGACCTGGTCTCATCAGACAGAAACGCATTGTTTTATACACTATCAGTCAAAAGTTTGGACACACCTTTAATGTTTTTTCTCTATTTTCATGACTATTTACATCATAGATTCTCTCTGAAGGCATCAAAACTATGAAGGAACACACGTGGAATCATGTAGCCAACAAAAAATTGTGAAATAACTCAAAACATGTTTTAAAATTTAGATTCTTTGAAATAGCCGCCCTTCGCTGTGATTACTGCTTTGCACGCTTGGTGTTCTCTCGATGAGCTTCATGAGGTCGTGGTTTTCCAGCTCCTGGAACATTTATCTGGGCTCTAATCTGAGGTGTTGTTAACTTGTGATCCGATGCTCGGATAAATTCGTCTTGTTCTTCCTTTTCTGGGCCGGTCCTCGTGAGCCAGTTTCCTCGTAGCGCTTGATGGTTTCTGCGACTGCACTTGGGGAGTTTTCGCAATTTCAAACAGACTGACCTTCAGTAATGATGGACTGTGGCCTCTCTTTACTCAGCTCATTGAGAGAAGGGTTTGCAGCGCTGTCAACAAAGCAAAGAACAGCTACTTGGCAACAAATTTAGATTCCATAGATCTTACTTAATATATGTGATTCTTGAGTTTGTATCTACAGTGTGGAAAGAAGCAAAAATACAGAAAAATGATTAAATGGGAAGGTGTGTGTGTGTGTGTGTGTGTGTGTGTTTTAATGGGAGGAAAATCTGCAAACAACTACTGTGTTGTGTGCT